TGTTTCAGTATGCAGATGCTCACATTTTAAGGTTCTTTAATAATTAAAAAATGGGAGATTACAAAATTGGAACTTTGATAAAGTGTTCTTATTGCAAGCCCTTTAGATATCAGATGTGTTCATATATACAGATTTTCCCATACAATCAACCTATAATATTTTCCATACGATCAACCTGTAATATTTTCCATACAATCAACCTGTAATATTTTCCATACAATCAACCTGTAATATTTTCCATACAATAAACCTGTAATATTTTCCATGCAATCAACCTGTAATATTTTCCATGCAATCAACCTGTAATATTTTCCATACTATCAACTCGTAATATTTTCCATGCAATCAACCTGTAATATTTTTCAGATAATCAACCTGTAATATTTTCCAGACAATCAACCTGTAATATTTTCCATACAATCAACCTGTAATATTTTCCAGACAATCAACCTGTAATATTTTCCAGACAATCAACCTGTAATATATTCCATACAATCAACCTGTAATATTTTCCATACAATCAACTCGTAAGATTTTCCATACAATCAACCTGTAATATTTTCCAGATAATCAACCTGTAATATTTTCCAGACAATCAACCTGTAATATTTTCCAATAATGAAGTACTCATAATTATAGCAGGTGCATCATTTTGTAACATTACTCCAGACAATTGATTATTATTACATAAAAATTTTGAACAAAAGAATGACAGCTTGACGCAATAATCAAATAATGTAGGTTACTTAGTAAACATTTAATTTATTATTTTGATAAATATATAGATAAATATATAAATAAACATATATAAATATATTAATTATATATATATATAAATATATAGAGAGATATTAACTCGACCACAAATTAATTGGCAAAAGCGCGCACGGAGGAATAATAGTCTATTATTGTATACATATTCTAATTGCAATGAATGAATTCTAGCTGTCTCTGAAAGGTCACTTCACCCATTTAGGATTACTATAGATATTCACTGAACTGCAAATTAATTGGCAAAAGATGCAGTCAAAGAGATTACTCATACAGTATTACAGTAAAACCTGTCTAATGTGAACACTTCTGGGACTGGCCAAGTGTTCAGATAGGCAGGTGTTCACATTTTAAGTTTCCAGAATATGTGAGTCAATGGAAGATAACAAAATGAGACTGAGAAAAGTGTTCTCATTGAGAGGTGTTCAGATTAGAGAGGTGTTTGTATTTATAGGTTTTATTTTAGAATCTCACAAGCTATTGTGGGTAAACCAAATAGTCAAAATGTCTGATGATTCCTCTGGGGGCTTTAGGTTATTGTATACAAATTAGTCAGTTTTTATTATATACAAATTAGTCAGTTTTTGTTGTATACAAATTAGACAGTTTGTTGTCTTATGTTTCTTTACAATTTAGCGGTGATCGAGTTTCAAGAAAATGTGTCTAATCAAATTGTTCGGTAATTTCCCTGTATAAATTGAACAGAAAGTACTCCTTATGTGGCATCACTTGCGACTTAGAGCTCAAAACAATACACATGAGGGGAATTTCTTCTTCGATAATTGTAGTTTTTTTGTTTCAATCTTTTCATTTTATCTGTTTAATTTGAATGGAATTATGTAAAGTAATCCTTACTGAACACAGCTGGCTCAAAAGCCAGTCAGCTCGGTAGAGTAAAGTAATCCTCTGGTGTTTCTATACAATTTAAAGTATTTGAGACATGATCCATTTACTTAATTCCTTGCTAATTCAACTCATTTTTCTCTAAAATTTGAATGAAGTGTCTTGATTTCTTGCATTTGTACAATGTAAATAATTCAAAGCCTGAACTGCATGACTGTTTACTTTATTCCTTGCTAATTCCACTCATATCTCTCTAAAATTTGAATGAAGTATCTGTATTTCTTACATTTCTTTATAATTTAGAGTGTTAACTACATGCCAATTTACTTCATTGCTTGCTAATTCAACTCATTATTCTCTAAAATTTGAATGAAGTGTCTGTATTTCTTGCATTTCTTTATGATTAAGAGTGTTAACTACATGCCAATTTACTTCATTGCTTGCTAATTCAACTCATTATTCTCTAAAATTTGAATGAAGTGTCTGTATTTCTTACATTTCTATATAATTTAGAGTGTTAACTACATGCCCATTTACTTCATTGCTTGCTAATTCAACTCATTATTCTCTAAAATTTGAATGAAGTATCTGTATTTCTTTCATTTCTTTATAATTTAGAGTGTTAACTACATGCCCATTTACTTCATTGCTTGCTAATTCAACTCATTATTCTCTAAAATTTGAATAAACTGTCTGATTTTTGGGCATTTCTATACAATTAAGAGTGTTTACTTCATGCCAATTTACTTCATTTCTTGCTAATTCCACTCTTTTCCACCCATATTCACAATTTAAAAACACTACAACTCTGAAACTTTTCTCACGGGACAATGCCAATTCTCTTCGTTAAGTTCTTCCTTCCAAAAGCGCATCAGACTAATTTGTATTAGAAAGAAAATCAATTTTCTAACCTTTGCTTAGGGTCATCTCTCTGGTGCCTCTGGTACGCATTAATCATCCTTGTAAACGTTTTATCATATTCTATATGGCTACTTTACCGATATTGGTGTCCTTATACAGATAAGTCAATAAAGTTCTTGAAGAGTTATCACCTTCAATGGCTCTAGACTTCTACTTGGTTCCAGATTCTTGTGGATCGAAATTGAATGATTCATAGCGATCGTTGAATCATTTAGAAAATCTCGTTATTTTGTTACATCTTACTCAATCTGATACTCCATCCTTGGTCCAATATATTTTACTTTTTATTGACAAAACAAATCTCGTCAAATGTCTCGTCAATTAAGAAGTTGAAGAAGCAGAAATGTCCAAACTATAGCCCATTAGCCTGATTATGAAGGATTCTGATACATACACATCTTTCTTACTTCATGGGCAAGCAGTTTCTGATAGAGTTGCCATAATACACAATGTGAGTCAAGTCAGTGTTTGGTTAAGCAGGTATTCACATTTCAAGTTTTTGTAATATGTGAGTCAAGTCAGTGTTTGGTTAAGCAGGTATTCACATTTCAAGTTTTTGTAATATGTTAGTCAAGTCAGTGTTTGGATTAGCAGGTATTCACATTTCAAGTTTTTGTAATATGTGAGTCAAGTCAGTGTTTGGTTAAGCAGGTATTCACATTTCAAGTTTTTGTAATATGTGAGTCAAGTCAGTGTTTGGTTTAGCAGGTATTCACATTTCAAGTTTTTGTAATATGTGAGTCAAGTCAGTGTTTGGTTTAGCAGGTATTCACATTTCAAGTTTTTGTAATATGTGAGTCAAGTCAGTGTTTGGTTTAGCAGGTATTCACATTTCAAGTTTTTGTAATATGTGAGTCAAGTCAGTGTTTGGTTTAGCAGTATTCACATTTCAAGTTTTTGTAATATGTGAGTCAAGTCAGTGTTTGGATTAGCAGTATTCACATTTCAAGTTTTTGTAATATGTGAGTCAAGTCAGTGTTTGGTTTAGCAGGTATTCACATTTTAAGTTTTTGTAATATGTGAGTCAAGTCAGTGTTTGGTTTAGCAGGTATTCACATTTCAAGTTTTTGTAATATGTGAGTCAAGTCAGTGTTTGGTTTAGCAGTATTCACATTTCAAGTTTTTGTAATATGTGAGTCAAGTCAGTGTTTGGATTAGCAGTATTCACATTTCAAGTTTTTGTAATATGTGAGTCAAGTCAGTGTTTGGATTAGCAGGTATTCACATTTCAAGTTTTTGTAATATGTGAGTCAAGTCAGTGTTTGGATTAGCAGTATTCACATTTCAAGTTTTTGTAATATGTGAGTCAAGTCAGTGTTTGGATTAGCAGGTATTCACATTTCAAGTTTTTGTAATATGTGAGTCAATAGGAGATAATTTGGACCAAGAAAAAGTGTTCGTATTGATAAGTGTTTGGATAAGAGAGGTGTTCAGATATACAGGTTTTATATCTGGGATTATAATAGAACTATAGATTATTTTTACTTTTTCACTTTTTGGTAGACAGCTTTTTACATACAACCAGAAGCGGTAACAAATTGTAACTGTTTCAAACTTTTTTTGTGGATGGTGTTCAGTGTTAGGCATTTGATAGTCTGCATTTGGCATCTGTAACAAATGGCATTTTGCATATTTATGCCTTGTTTTCAATTGCATTCATTTGTTTAATAATTTACTTACATAGTTAGAATAGAATTATTTTGTTGAGCCTAAAAGGTAAACATCACATTTGTAAGGAATTTATTTATCATAATTGCTATCTGGCTTATCAAAGTTGAAGTACAAAAATATAAATTGAAAATAATCATTGCATTTATTTTCTTGACTCCCTAGCTTCATTGGATTTGATTTGAGTCTGACAGAAGAAATTAGATTAGAGTGATTCATGATTCGCATGAGAACGATTGGTTCAACAAAGAAGTTAGGGTACCATGGCAACCATTATTCACTGATGGTATTCTTGTCTTTTTTGTCATGGCAACCCGTATTCATTAGTTAGATATTGTTGTCTTTCAAATTTTCCTGGCAGCAGAAGCTCATTGAAATCATCAAAAAGATACAGTTAGTGAAAAGCATAGGAAACAAGTTCTCAAGGTCATATATGAGACTGGAAAGTATAACTTGCAGATTCATATTTATTAGTTAATGAAAACACAGAATGAAATCCTGTGCTAAGGGCTGAGGTGAAAAAGTCAGTCCACCCCAGTGGGGATCGAACCCACAACCCCTCAAAAAAGATTCAAAAAAAGAAGTGTTAAGACTTGCAGTTGTTCACATTTTGTGTTTTTTAACATGGAAGTTTTAATGCCAGATTTAGAGAACCAAAAAGTGTTCTTATAGAAGAGGTCTACATCTATACAGGTTTAACTAGTATGATTTTATGAAAAAATATGACCTAATAAAACCATGGTTCTATGGTAAATTTATGAATTAAAATAATTATTTGTTGTTTTTTCTACCTCCAGGTAACAGCCAATCACGACTTCCAAATGGGACAGTTGCCGCGACAACAGGTACAGGGACAGGAAGTGGTTCTACCCCTACATCCAGTAGACGAAGTTCCCATCATGCTAGACAGATTGCCTTCCAGCGTGTCGACCCCCTGCCGGGAGAGGAGCCCTTACCCCCAGGTAAGCCTTTCTTGTCATAGGAGAGAATCTTACACACTCTTACATCAAAGAATAAGCACTTATTCTAAGAGTGCACCTGAAGCTTTCTTTTCAGCTATTCAAAAGGGTAAGGTGTACATTCAGAACTGAATGCCACAGATGTAATTAATGTTTTGATGATGAAATTACTTCAGCATGAGATCATAACATTTAACACAGCATAACAGTTGGTTTTATAATATACAAACAAACACTACCATGCAAAACTGGCATCCTGAATACTGACATGACAACTTTGAATTTTGGATGCTACCATAGCAACTTAGTACCCTAGATGCTACCATGCCAACAGAAACTATGCATTCTATGTGCTACAACATAAGCTTTTCCAGAATTTGTATTTGAAATATGCAGTGGCAATGCAGGCCCGTAGCCAGAATTTTCCAAGGGGGGTTCACTTTTCCAAACCCCCCGAACCCCCCCCCCCCCTGGCTACGGGCCTGTAATGCAAATGTTATCAGTTTAAAAGCTTTCCACATAGAATGTTCCCATTAATGGTGTCAGGTCTGCTCTATGATATGTTGGAAACTGATTTTTTGCCTCATTTATGGCTAGAAAATGATTGAATAATTAATGAATTTTTCCACTGTCATGAATGTGACTCATTTAAGGTTTTTATAGCTAATGTAAATATAATTAAAAAATGAAGAAAAAATGATATGTGAATGACGCATTTATTCTACCTTCCATTTGAATTAGCTTCTTAAAATACACGTTAAGTCCAAGAAAAACCTCTGAACTCATTAAGTCAACCACAGATTTTGTCACCAGAAGTATGCATGATTTTTTATTTATTGTCATTTCCTCTGATGTCATCTTTTACCCAGAATTGACCAATATGAAACATTATTCCATAACGCTGTTGTTTTCCCAGGGAAATATGAAGGAATAAAAATCGTATTAAATCGTATTACATAAAAAAAAATCGTATTGTCCCTGGGAAAAAATCGTATTGGAGCGTATTACATGAAAAAATGGTATTGTCCCTGGGAAAATTGTATTGGAGCATATTAACCTAATTTTGGTTTCCCTGTTATTTTAACAATGACTAATTGATAAGATTTAACTTCAAACAATGTGCATTTATTGATATAATGTTTCCATTATCCAAATATAACATTTTAGAGGGATGTTTTATGGAATAGATAGGTTATTTCTGATTGAATATTGCTTTTATTCCTCGGAAAATATGATATTGACCTTGGGCAACATCATATTGACACTCAGTCGCTGGTCTCCATCGGTCAATATCATATTACCCTTCTGTCAATACCATATTGTCCCTTGGAATAAACCCATAGTAGATAACCTATATTTATTGAAACATCTTTCATTGAGAAAATGTCAACTTGGTGATTTTTAATTGATTTACTTCCCGGGTTGTGACTCCATCAACATTGGGGGCAGTCACCTATTCAAAGTTAGTTTAGAACTAAACTTTCTCCTCAGGATATATTTATATTGTTCCACAAGGGAAACAAGAAGCAAAAACAGCCTATACATTAATACTTTAATTTTTCATGACAGGCTGGGAGGTACGAATAGATAGTCACGGTCGCAAATTCTACATTGACCATATCAACCGCCAAACAACATGGACTCGACCACGTGCCCAACAGGTGCCTCCAACTGGGCAAGCTGTACGGAGAGTGCCATCTATTAGCAGTGAACAAAGGGAAGATTTGGACAGGAGGTATCGGAGCATACGTCGCACGATCAATGACTCATCACAACCTCGAGTTGATGAACTTGGTGGAACGCCACCTATAGGTCAGTTTACTAATCTTGATAAATGTTGCCTTGTTGAAGGTGCATTTAATTTTATATTAATTGATATAATTTTAAGAAATAGGTGGAATACATGCCCTTCAAAGTTCCATTCACAGTTCATGAAATCGCTCTTATGAATTTTACATACAAAAGTTACATACTATTAGTCAAATTGTTGAATTTGTGTTTCTTTAGTTATATATACTGTTTGTAGTGAATATATAGTAAAACCTGTCTAATCCGAATGCAACTGGGATTAGCCAAAAATGTTCAGACATACAGCAGATAAGACAGATGTTCAGATAAACAGGTTTTACTGTAATTTTATATTTGTATTGTAGACCATGCCACACCAGCGCAGTCCTCGGAACAGCCCGCCCCCACCACCAGTGCGACAACCTCACCCCAGAGGAACATAGACTCCAGTACTTTGATGCAGTTTCCGGCCATTAAGTTTCTCACTCGACCCGACCTCTTCTCACTTATTCAGAACGCTCAGGTTTGTTGAATCGTATATAGCCAGTCTCTTGTTCCTATCCCCTTCCCCCCTATTTATTCCTTACCCGTCAGAACCAGTTATTTCGAATTTTTTTCGAATGGGTGCAAAACACCATATTTATAATTCTAGTCAGAAACCATCAGCATATGCAAATTTTTCATGATTTTCAAATTGGTGAAAATATGTTTTCAAATGGGTGCAATTATATTTCCAAAACCTCAAGTTGGTGCAGCCTCATAAGCGTCATATGGATTTATCACATGACATTCAAAATGGTGGACAACAGTAAGTTGGATTCCCATATGGTCCTATAAGCCTTATATGGATCTATCACATGGATACCCCTTGACCAAATACCAACACTGAACTTTGGGAGACCCCCCCCCCCCCCTGTGCTTTATGGTTACATACAAGTAATCATTTTAACATTACAAAAAAATTGACGAAACACAAAAATGATTTTTTTCATATTTATTATTTTCTATAGGACAGTATGGCAGAGTATAACAGAAACAGTACATTAAAACATATGCTGACGAAAATAAGGCGAGATCCGCAAGTCTTTCAAAGGTAGGTCGTTTGAAGGCACTGTAATAAAATATATGCAGGCACATGTATTTTCGAGGTTCGTACAACTGAATAAGAACTTATTTAATTTAAGATTAAAATAAAGGTTAATCAAAAAAAAGAAATTGTTAACTCAGTGTGCTGTTGAATATACTCAGAAAATAAGCTTTACTCAAAAATTATCCCTTATTCTCTCAAAAAATCATCTCATTTTTATGTCACCAACACTAGAAGTGGTGACATATTGGTATAGATTCGATTTTTTGGCATTCTGTGTCTGTAACAAATGGCAGGTGGTAACATTTTTCATGTTAATGGCTTGTGTTGATTTCTGTGATTGTGTTGTTTTTGAATGTTAACCACATTAAACTTGCACATTCCACTTGTCCACTTCAATTGTAAAATACCAGATAACCGATTTGATATTTTCTCAAGGTATCAACATAACAGAGATCTTGTCGGATTCTTAAACATGTTTGCTGACCCAAACATGGAGCTACCGAGAGGTTGGGAGGTGAAATACGACCGCTCTGGAAAAGCGTTCTTCATCAACCATACGGAAAGACGCACCACGTTTATCGATCCACGATTACCAGTTGATGTTCCGATTATGCAGAATGGTAGCTTGATGCCTTTGATGCGACAACGGAGCCGTAGCGCTGGGGAGAGGGATATGCCAGGGATGGCACCCACACCTCCACCCAGGCCTAACAATGCAGATGCAACAGCCTCCTCAGCTACAGCTGCTGTTCCATCAAGTAAGTACTACTGTAGATTGGGTTAATTTGGCGCCTGCTTTAATTTGGCGAATTTGGCGAAATTGAAAAATTCGCCAATATAAATCTTCGCCAAAATTTAAAATGAATCCCCGGGAATTATCTAGAGTATTTCCTCCAGTGTATTTAGGTCACTTCCGGTTTAGTTTCTTTCAAAAATATGAAAAATGTCTCTCATAAATTGGCTCAGAACTGGTCAGTCACTCATTAATATTCAGGGAAAAACTAGAAAGGAAAAGCGTGGTATAGTAGCAGCATCGATCGAGGTGCAAAATGTAAAGGATGATCGCCAGTGGTCCTCAAAAGAAAAATGGACATAGCCAAACTTATCCATTTACATGGTAATTCGCAAACAGTGCGTAAGTTAATTTTCTTGCATATCCGCCAAATTAAATAGCCGCCAATATGCCAAAAATGGCAAAATCGCCAAATTAAGTAGTGCGAAATTAACCCAATCTACAGTATTATGTCACCACAAGAATTATTATGTCACCACAAGAATTGGTGACATGTCATTATGTCACCACAAGAATTAGTGACATGTTATTATCATCTCCAACATATTATGCATATTTGCAATAAGTTTCTTTTACATGTACTGGAAAATAAAATTCATGACTTGTAACTAAATCAAATCACTCTGTTAAATATTAAACCATGTTCTTATAATTGTATTTGAAATAAATAAATTCTATTATTTTATTCCAGCTTACAATGAAAGAGTGGTCGCTTTCCTAAAACAGCCAAATATTGAGAAAATTCTGTCTGAGCGGCATCCCACGTACAGATATGATAGTTCACTGAAGTCAAAAATTGCCAAAATTGTCAAGTTTGGTGAACCACGATTAGAACGCCTTTCAAATGATGTCGACTTAATAGTTCTGCTAAGGTATTTTGCTAATTTCTTTCTGCTAATTCTGCTGATATTTTTGTATATATATTTATGCTCTTTTTGTCATATAAAATAAAAATAAAGATATTTAACAATAAATATATATCTTAACTATTGTAATTTATTTGAACACATATGGCTTGCTTTATTGACTTGTGAATGTCAACCAAATCTTAATTATAAGGATTAAAATTTTGTTAATATTTTGTAATATTAATATTATTTCAGTATGTTCGAAAATGAGATAATGTCATATGTACCTCCTCATCTCGCCACTGTCTCTAAACAACACAATAGCCCCCTTGGGTCCCCCCAGGGGTCGCCAGCATTGCAGCGGGCAAATGTACGGGTACCTGCTCCTTATAAACGTGACTTCCAAGCGAAATTGAGAAACTTCCATAGAAAGCTAGAAAATAAAGGATATGGTCAGGGTCCTGGAAAAGTAAAGTGAGTTAGAACTGTTTTATGGTTTAATTTTTTTGTCACCACCAGAAGTGGTTACATATTGTTATAATTTCCAATTTTTTGTTGATGGAAGGTGGTGACATTTTGCATGTTTAAAAGCCTTCTTTAAAAAAAATGATATTAATATAATCATGAAACAAAGTCTGACAATACCCAGGCATTAGTGACCATGTTGATTTTTCATATACAGGTAATATATATATTTATATGAACTCCTCTCAAGAGCGATCACATTGAAATGTGAACACTTTTTCAATTCCATTTTTGAGATATCTTAGACTCCAATTCTGTCAGAACCTGTAAAACTTTGTATTTTTGAAAAAATGAATATGTCACAAGGTTAAGCTCTCAGCCAATTAAATGTCAGGATTCACATTGGTATAATGATAATATTAATTATTCCACAGGCTATCTGTAAGAAGAGACCACGTTCTAGAAGATGCCTATAACAAGATAATGGCTACCAGCAAGAAAGAACTACAAAGAAGCAAATTGTTCATTAGCTTCAAGGGGGAAGAAGGGTATGTTTTTAAAGGCCCCAAGAAAAGTTTGATATTTTCAAGCTTTGCACAGGGTCTTTAACATTGACAGTTGTAGAATGAAATAGGAAATAAACAGTATTTTAGTTAACCTCAAAATCACGTTGAAGAGTCATTTCAGAAATTTCATTCCCATGACATATTATCATCAAAATAGATTTAGTCGGTTACTGTAGGATAATAATTAAAGCTTATGAAAATAAAAGCTTATGAAAATCAAACCTTATGAAAATAAAATGTCATGAAAATAAAAGCTTATGAAAATAAAATGTTATGAAAAACATTTGAATAAAAACACCAGTCTAAATAATTCAATTTAGAATATTGATTTTTATTTCCAGGTTGGATTATGGTGGCCCCGGGAGAGAATTTTTCTTCCTCCTTTCTAGAGAGCTCTTCAATCCATACTATGGCTTATTTGAATACTCAGCCAATGATACTTACACAGTGCAAGTCAGCCCAATGTCTGCCTTTGTAGAGAATGCTCACGAATGGTAAGGAATCAGAAGAATATTTTAAGCAGTTCAAAGTTAATTATATGTTTAACGTCTTGAGAAATGGTCAAATTTTGGAAGGGTGGGAGGTGAAATAACAAACAAATTATAAGAAGCAAACCCTTTAAATGTATTGCTATAAGCATAAGTTCATCCTTTCTCGTTAGTTTTATTTCACAGAATAAGACACCAAATAAGTTAAACAGGATTTTGAGCAATGTTCCACTTGCAGAGGTGTTTCACTGTGCAAGTATAACTGTAGTTCAAAAAATGAGGATGGTGCCGACATTTATAAATTGACCCTGCCAATTAATACCATCATCATTTGAGTTGAATGAATTTCAGGTTCAGATTCTATTGATTTTCAATCCAGCTCAGAACTCTAGCCTAAATACATGTACAATTGAACATTTACCTTACAAATTGTTTCACCTTTTCAGGTTTAGATTCGCAGGACGTGTGATAGCACTGGCTCTGATACATCAATACCTGTTAGATGCTTTCTTCACCAGGCCTTTTTATAAGGCACTTCTCAAATTGTAAGTACGGCAAATTCGGCCATGAAAGTCAAATCAACCATGCTTAGATACTTTTCACCAATCAGATTGCTCTTTCACTATTCATTTACTGATTTTTTGTTGCATAACTGGACTTGTCAATTCTTGAAGTTTTAATGCCTGGATCCAGGGGTCAGTATATTGACCACATTTCAAGGTCAGGTTGCCCTGAAGACGATTCAGTGCAAAATATGTACTAAAGTCTAATATTCACTTTCATTCTTGACCATTTTTAATGTTTTGTAAATACCGTAATACAGTTAAAAGTAAAAAAATCTGTTTAATTATTTTTCCAGGGGTACCACGCTAAGTGACGTCGAGGCAATAGACACAGAATACCACCAAAGTATTTTATGGATTAAAGAAAATGACATCACAGATATGGGACTAGATTTAACATTCTCCGTAAATGAAGAAGTATTCGGACAAATAACTGAACGAGACCTTAAACCAAATGGTCGACACATACCAGTGACTGAAAAAAATAAAAAGGATTATATAGATCGTGTTGTTAAGTGGAGAGTTGAACGTGGAGTTGTTGAACAAACCGAGTCGCTTGTCCGAGGTTTTTATGAGGTCATTGACTCGAGATCAGTGTCGGTGTTTGACGCTAGAGAACTAGAACTTGTAATAGCTGGAATCGCTGAGATCGATACAGCTGATTGGAGGAAACATACTGAATATCGCTCAGGTAATAATATTAACAATTACATTTATTGTTCTCTCGAAGTTTTTCCCTAATAAGCAAGGTTGAAAGTAAATTCACTGGTACTTTTAACTTGTGTATAGAAGTTCAAAATATTGAAGTGTTTTTATTATCATTTATTTCAGATACATGAATATTGTCATTTTAATTACCACATTCTACCTCATGAGCGCACAGTTCCAATGAGCGCACACTTAAGTTAAATATGGTCTCAAGAAAACACAAAGTTAAATGCATTTGTTAGGATTATTTACACAACATGATATCGATTGATGATTATATTTAATGCAGAGAATGAAATAAATGAACTGCAGAACCGCACTATGCACTCATTAGAGAGAATATGGTAGTATACTGTACATATGATAATGCATATTACGCCAATTAAACATTTCTGACGAGGAAATATCAAAATTCTATATATAAAGTTCATGTTGTGGAAGACAAAATTGTTAATACTTGTATTAGAATTGATTGAATTCTGATATAAATAGGGGAAAAATATTTTCATTTCTATTTTCCAGGCTACCATGAAATGCATCCTGTTGTTCAGTGGTTTTGGATGGCTGTGGAGAGATTTGACAGTGAGCGCAGATTACGTCTGCTCCAATTTGTTACAGGGTCATCCAGCGTCCCATATGAAGGGTTTGCAGCACTACGGGGTAGCAATGGGCCTAGGAAATTCTGCATCGAGAAATGGGGGAAGATTTCTAGTTTACCAAGGTAAAATTTTGAATTATAGATTTGAGCGAGCCCAAGATTAAAGTGCAGTAGTTCTTCTTAGAAGAGTTTTATTTTATGTATATCTCTCTCATTTGGCCATTTTTCTGTTTTGAAATATGTGAAGTTATTTTCCATATGCACGTTTTTTCATTACAATACACAAAAGGCAACATTAGAAAATCACAAATTACCCTGAATAACACTAAAAACTAAAAACCAATAAAAGTCAATTTAAATGAAAACACTTAGATTGAGCCAAACCAGCTCAAGTGAAATTGAAATACAAGACCGTACATTACTGTGTTAAGGCAAATAGTCTTTAATGTAGACCCTGTAACTTATGTTGTACCTATTTAAAATAAATGAAAACTAAAAAATCCTTATTCCAGGGCACATACCTGTTTTAATCGGATTGATCTACCAGCCTACAACTCATTTGAGATGCTTTTTGACAAACTATCTACTGCAGTTGAGGAGACTAGTACATTTGGGATTGAATAGATGGCGCTGTGCTTTATATGAAAATGCCAGGATGTGGAATACAAGATGGTGCTGTGCTTTATATGAAAATGCCAGGATGTGGAATACAAGATGGTGCCAAATGTGATATTATTGGTGCATTGTTTTAGCCATGCACAAAATGGAAAATTTACCTGTTGTTGCTGATTAACAGACTGGTTAATGGATGTTGTTATGACAATACAACTTCCATTTTATGTCGGAGATTTACAATCGTCTAATTTTTATCAAAAACTCAGCATAAATAATACTGTTGTATATGCTGGAGTTATATTGCAGTGAACAATGGGAAAGTGCAACTAGTAATATAGCAGTTTACTTGAATAGTGAGTATCTTAAAATTGGAAAGCTGGAGTAAGGTAGCTATATAAGATATATGACTTGGTCAAATGTGCTAGGTGAATTTTGACCTAAATGGATACACTAGACTTTTGGAGGATTTTTGTATGAAGAGAGAATCTAAAATTGGATATATGAACTTTGAAATATATTGCTTAATATATAAAACCAAGTGGCTCGAGTAATGGCAGCTATATACATGTATGATACAGTCCAATGAGCTGCCTGCACTCTGAATTTCAGCTTCAACTGGAACACAACTACAACCGTGCATGGATTTACTGCTTTTTACAAGATTCTAAGTATGGTTAAGTGAAAGAAATCACATTCTGGATTAAGTTCCTGAAGAGAAGTACATGTAATGTAAAAGTGTTCCATTGATATTCCATATATGGGCACAGCTGCCAATCATAATGATTGACAGGACATTCTCCAAGAATATTTTGAGTTCCCACATCAACCTGAAATAGCAGTGGACCAACACTGTGGATATCTGCATTGGAGAATTTTAGAAAAATGTTATTATCTCAGCGAAAAAATGTAGTACTGGAGTTTTCAGTAAGTATGCTTACAAAGTGACTTTGTGGATCAATGGTCGATTAAATAAGGACATTACCCCCCCCCCCATTCACACTCTTAAATCAAAATACTGTATGGTACCATTCAGTTTAGTGCCATACAGGGATCACTGTACACAACAGTACAATACTTTTTAGTCTATGGTGCCACATAAGATTACGTGTTCATGTACAAACTCTCTTAAAAACATATAGCTTAACCTCCCCCCGAAAGAAGCTTTGAATCCCTTTAGAGCGTTTTACTCAACTGAGCCATTCTCTTACATGTTGGGTTTATTGTTTTATGATACCATTTACCAGCCTAATCTGTTTCTAATTCTCTTTCTTGAGCAAAAAAAGTTTGTACTAGTTTTGTATGTAGTTCGTTCAATCTGGTGCAGTTGATGCATTTTTGACAATTTTTGAACATGATTATAGATTCTAAACATAGAAGTAAAGCAATGTTCATTCAGGTTTGAGTGAGACCCCACACATGAAGGGGTGGGAATTTTGACAAAACAAAAATTGGGCTGTCAAATTTCCTTATTGAGAAGCATCCTTGAGAGTATATTTTCCCGCCCCGAGAGCAGTAATAGCAGATCAAATGTTGTCAAAATTCAAATTATCAAGAATTATGCATTTCACTGCAAAAATTCCTAGCCTCCCCCTATGGGGGTCTCATAAAATCGAATACAAATATAAGTAAAACTGAATTATGATACATCAAAATTGATTAAATCATCAATGATCATGAATTCACAAATATTCATATAGTATTCTGCTCAGTGCTCATGCTATGTAGTGTGCCTTTTTATTCATGTGTTCTATATCTTTAAATCTTTAAAGAATTTGAAGTTATCATTTGTATGCGCAAGTACAAGGTGTTCCAGAAAAGGGTACACTTTTCTTAATGTTCAAGCCGTCTTTATAATACTTCAGGTTTTGTTTACATTTGATAAACCATTGGACAGAAAATACAAATTTTAAAACAATGTATGTGATAAGCAGTACTGGTTATGTTTTATGGGTGTTAAATCTAAATTACACACTTTTTAAGTTTTCAGGTAATAAAATGAATTACAAATTATAGAGACTTTTATTGAGACTTTACAGATTTACCCTAAGGTGTCCATAACGTTTTATTTTGATTATAAAGAGACTTCATTGACACCCCGTATCGTGAATATAAAGTGCATTTATTTTTTGGGCACACCTTGTATGTTTTTTTTGTTTTTTTCAATTTCAGATTTGGTAAAGTAAGATGTGCTTCTACACACAGTGATTTATTCAACAAAAAAGCCATTCCATTTGTAACTGGAAATTAAAATTCCAGTTATTCATATAAGAAATATAAGTAAGATATACAGGATGTCCATAAAGTCTCTTTACACAGATTTTGCACTGTAATTCTAAAGATACTTATAGGCACCCTGTACAATATGTACCATATGTACTATATGTACAATATGTACTATGTACATCCAGATATGTATGTTATATTGCAATAACACGAGGACTATGTGTTAAGTTTTATAATTGTTGCTGATATTATTTATGCTTGAATGTTATGGGCTTTATAATGGTATATAGCTATGTACATAATTATATTAAATTCTATATATCATGAAAAAACAGTGTTGCATCCCTTTTTGTTGTTGTTGATCATTTGCCAAATTATCTGGTTTTTCCCATGTTTCTTCAGAAAACAAAGCTTGACAAATAAAGTTAGTCAATCCACAATGTGTAATGTGTAAAATTACACTTTTTAGTTGACCTGTTCTTAAAAATCCTGTATTTAAAACAAGAAATGAAACAAGGTATGAACTTGCTTTTTAAGGAATATAAAATCCTTCCTAGAACAACTACAAGCAATATTTCAACTTTGTTTGGATAATTTTATTAATAAGTGCATAATCTATAGCATCTATCTAGCAGTTTCAAGGAGGATTGGCTCCCTGGATCCAAACTTGATATTTTCCAACAATAAAAATGTAGAAATGTCATTATTTTCTGAAATTATAACCAACTACAGTACATGTATAATTAAAAATTAACAGTTAAAAAATTCAAACCAATATCTAGATCATTTCTTGTGAGTTTTGGAATTTTTCGTCAGGAAATAAGACCAAATTCACAATTCAATGGCGGCTGAATTTAATTTCGAATTTTGCATCATGACATGCCCATATATGGGACAGAATATCATGTTGATGTTGACATGATGTTGCACTTTGGGAGCCGATCCTCCTTGCTGCAGTTTATAACAGATACATTGTTATAGTATTTATAGATGTACAATACTTCTAATATGAGGTATTATAACTTTCATTTTCAAAATATACATGACCACCACAAGGTCAGGGTCATCTACAGAGGTCAAGGTCATGACAAAATATGGCTACCTTTAGGACCTTATTGTTGCATATAATTTCTGCACTTTTCTCCATTTTTCTCCTGAATACATGCTTGCAGATTACAATGTTCTTCGGCTTTTACTTAAATTCTTTGTTGATGCAGATATTTTTCATTTTCATTGTAAATATGTAGCTTTTAATATATGCCATTTTATAATTTATAATATATTGTAAAAATTGTAAATGAAGACTGTATTTATGCTAAAATGAAATAAAATCATTTTTTACTAATTTGTGATTCTCCTTTGACTTGATCTTACCAACTCAAATTATGTTATTTCCTTATGGTCAATGTGTACTTTTGGATTTTTTACAAATTGAAAAGTAGATCACTGAATATTCTAGTTGTTCGCACGTTCTAAAGCATCAACACTCAGTTAATAATCTAGGCACAATAGGCATCTTTTTTTGCAAAAAATGAAAGATGTCAAGTTGTAAATCGTTCGTGGAATGAGATGTTTCCAATAATACAATACATGCACTGGTCAAGCAATTTCATTATAAATGACCGAAAGTACACGCGGCGCGGACCATACAGGCATGTAGCCAGGACTTGCCAAAGAGGGGTTCACTTTTTGAAAACAATTTCAAGGGGTACACTTTGGCCCGAAAGTGGCCAAAATCACTTGAAAAGTGTTCAGAATGGTAAAAAACTATGATTTTGAAATAGTTTTTTCGACAGGGGGGGTCGAACCCCCTGGCTATGGGCTTGCCTTAAATGCCTCCATACTAAATAAACCCAAGCCACGTCAACCATACGCCATCTTGATTCACAATGCTTCTGTTGCTCTAACCTAAACTTGAAGGTTAACTTGCAATAACCGCTTTTAAAGGCGAAGATGATCAAAGGACATTCATAAGCCTGTTTTTCCAATGTACGCAGGGCTAGGAGATGTGGCAACGGAACTGGGAGGGGCGCCTTAATTGAAAAATGGGAGACCATAAATAAATCCAACTTGGTGACGTGTTCCTAAAAATTCTTTAACAATGCCACAATCTGAGTATATGATCTGATTCAACATTTATGCAGTAAATAAAATATGGCAATAGTAAAATCAATGCATATAAAAAGGAAATGAAGTTGGGGATCAAGATGCCACATTTTATCACTCTCATATCTTTTAAAAAAAAACATGCCAAGATTGAAAATATAGTTTAATCACTCAAATACTACTTTTCAAGACTTGAAATTAAAATTGGAAAGTTTCACATTACACATTTTGATAACATTCGGTAGGACTATAATATGCATCCTTTGAAGAAGGACTTCATTTATGCTTAAAATACTATATACCCTTGCAGCAAGGATGATAATATGACCCAAAGTTTAGAAGCTTGTGTTGGGATTACATCCACATTTTAGCCTGTGTAGCAAAAGAAGGCAGGGTTTACATTATTGACGGTTATTTATAAAAGACAACATAAACTCGAATTCAATTGTATAGTATACTTGTATTGTAATACATATTTAACAAGTTATAATTAATAACTACATTTGGCTAAATTCCCCCCCCCCCCCCCCCCCCCCCTCCTAGCCGATATTCCTGATAAATATTTATTTTTAAGAAAAACACCAACCATTATATATCATTTTAAAGATAATTTAATTTGCAACGAAATGATATAAAATAGATCAATTTAACAATCCTGGCTCGAGATATAACCATTTATGTTGACATGGGAGTCAAAAGACACCTTCTCAATTTTTATCAATTTGCGAACAT